TAGCCTTGTGCATCCAGTTGCAAATCCAGTTTCAGATTGAATGGAACAGGGATAGGACATGGTTGTCTTTGAAGCATGGAAAACTGATGGCAGAAAAAGATTTAGTGGTCCGTCAAGGCTGCCCCTTGAGTTTACTGGTTTTTGCTTTCTTTTTTATTTATTTGTTACTTTTCTTTTAATATTCTATTAATTTTTTATTTTTTTTGTCAGGTAATAGACAAATGTTTATCCCGGGCATGTTTAAACTCAGTTGCTGATGACCGAGCCCCTGTCTCTGCTGGAAGTTGGTTCCAAGCTTCCTTTGCTTATCTTCAGCTTCCCTGTTCTGTTTCCCCCTAAGCCCATTTCAGGTCTCTCCGGAGATGAGGAGCTTGGCCGGGATCCCAGAGACCTCACTTTGCCCTTTGGTTGGCTGGTGCTATTCCAGACCTCCTTTATTTTTCCCTGCTCCATCAGCTGTGGACTTGGGAAAGAGAGCAGGGCAGGGGGAGGGCACAAGGGCACCACCAGTGTCTTGGAAAGCCTCTCCCCCAGCACCTGACCCACTTCCTGAGCCAGGGTCACTTGGTTCTGCCACCAGTCAGGGGAGCCTCGCCAGGTCCAGGCCTTTTCCTCCCAGCTCCCCTCTGATGTGCTCAGAAGGGTCTCAGCTAAACCAGTTGGGATGTTTATAAATTAAATATGATTATAACAAATCATGGGCTTTGGGGCTTATTATATTATGAAGTTACAATTGATTTAATTTGTTATTTTCAACGATTGTTTTGTTCTCTATACCGAGCTTGGTTATGTCTCTGGAGATTCTCAGTCTTCCAGGTCATGGTTGTTTCAAAGGTGCTTTTTCAAGAGGCAACTGGACTTCCTGGTTTTCCTTTGAAGACATTTCAAAGAGAAGCAAAGAAAGTCCAGTTGCCTCTTGCATCTTTGGAAGATGCACAGCTATCTTCTACTGAAAGGAAATGGATCACATTCATTTTATAGCTCAATTGATCGTTCAGTTCGTTAAGTAGATTTTGGTTCACTTTCATTTGCCTGGCTAGAAACCAGGGAGCAGGATACCCTGACAAAGAGAACTGAGGCAGTTTCAGGTGGGGATTTCCCCCGGTTCCTTTCAGTTCCCCTCTTTTTCAGAATTTAAACCTGGCCGTGCCAATTGGTCCCAATGGGGGAATTTCATGCTGGGGGTGGTTGATCGACTGATAGCAGCTTCCACCTCCCCCCCTTGCACACCTTCCTCCCCATCTTTAGTTATAACTTATATTTTATTGTAATTTGCATATGATTTTGTATATTCATATATTTATGGTTTCATTTTAATACAAGCCATCCAGAATCGCCTTGTGGTGAGATGGGTGGCAAACAATTTAATAAATAAATAATAATAAACTTAGAATTGCACAGTTACAAACCTCTGCCACCTCCAGGACTAACATGGCTTCCATGCCCATTTGGTCCGTGAGCTGGGGAGCCTTAGATTCAAGTGGCTTAGATTCCCTGCCCTGGCTTTGTTTGGGTATCAGGCAATGCTTGGGAGGACCCTCTGAAAGAATCAGGCGGCCTTCCAGGGTGGAAAGACAGAACTTCAACAGGTTCTCAACTATGTGTCAATGGTAAAATCATCAATAAAATAATTTCTTTTCCTTTTGTAACATTTAGGAAAGGTTAATGGGGAATCTCAGGACAGTTGATTTGACGTGATTTGCTTTTTCACCTCATGACAGGGAATGGTCACTTTTGTGCCAGGAAGTGATAGAGTACCAGATCCCTTCTCTGCTGGAGGCTCTGGCTCAGTGTGACATGTACAGGTATGTATGTACGTATGTATGTATGTATTTCTCTCTCTCTCTCCCCCTCCTCCCCCGTGGGCGCATTTCCCATTTGCTGCTCAGCATAAATAAAATTCAGTGTACTACAGGTAGCCCTTGATTTACAACCACGATTGAGCCCAAAATTTCTGTTGCTAATCAAGACAGTTGTTAAGTGAGTTTTGCTCATTTTGCAACCTTTCCTGCCATAGTTGTTAAGCAAATCACCGAAGTCGTTAAGCTAGTAATGTCATTGTTAAGTGAATCTGGCTTCTCCATTGACTTTGCTCATCAGAAGGCTGCAAAAAGGATCGTGTGACCCCCAGAGACACCTCGACCTCCATAAATGCCAAGCGTCACGTAACTGGGGATGCTGCAACAGGCGTAACAGTGAAAAACACCCAGGAGTCATGTTTTTCAGTGGGGTTGCAACTTCTAACGGTCACTAAACAAACAGTGTTCAGTTGAGGACGACCTGCTGGGGGTGCTTCATCCCTGGAGGTTTTTAAGAGGCGACTGGACAGCCATTTGTCTCAAATTCTACAAGGTCTCCTGCTTGAGCAGGGGGTTGGACTGGAAGACCTCCAGGGTCCCTTCCAGCTCTATTCTGATTGATTGATTTATTGATTAACCTCTTATCAGTCATCAGCTAGGACCAGAAGACTGTAGTAGGAAGCAGGAACTCGAGGTGAGGAAAAACAAAAAATGGGAGAGGTGCAGAAACCCCAGCCCCCCCTTCGCTTCCCCTCCCACACTGAGCGAAGGCTGGACTGTCTCAGAGAAGCCCCTCCCTTTGGAATGCATGGGGGGGCAGTTTTAAGCCACCAGGGTGGGGTGAGAGGATATTTGAACAATACGCAAAAGTTGGATATCTTGCGCTTTGGCCAAGCATTTGAAAGTGTCAGTTGCTCCTCAAAATCTTTTTCTCCTGCACCTTAGGAAAAAGGGAAGAGCTTTAGAGCTCCCGCTGCCTTAAGAAAGTTCAAAACATCCTCAAAGATCCATCTCATCCTGGGAACCCTTTTTCTGAACTATTACCATCTGGCAGACAGTACAGGATAATAAAAACAAGGACAAATAGGCTGAAAAACAGCTTCTCTCCCAGGGCAGTAGCTCTTTTGAATTCTGCTGTATGGTGCAGTGTTGGTGTGCAATCAGGAGTTTCGGTTCAATGTGTGGAGGGTGAAGGATGTGTGTTTGTGTTTATTTTCATGGTCATGATGTGCACTGAAGATGGTGTTTGATTTCGGTGTACGTGGTGCAATGGCAATAAAGTAAAACTAAACTAAACTAAACTAAAAAAATATTCACATAGTTTTATCCTGTTCTTGACTTCTAGCCTTTAATAGGAGAATTTTAACAACCACCAATATTATTGAGGCATAGAAAGTGGTTCCTAAAAAGATATAAAATGTTTGTGTTCCAGATTATGGGTACAACAGCAAGAAGTTCAACATGTAGCTTATCCCGTTAGAAACCTGGAGTCTCCAATATCAGAGAAGGATACTGGTTCCAATGAAGTCCTTCAAGATGTAATGTTATTGTTTATTATTACTATTGTTGTGATTGGTCACATAGTCATTCAGATGTTTGGATTTGGCATTTTTATCCAGCTGTTGAGTCCTTGCCAAGGACCTGGAATAGACAGGTGTTCTTTGATATTGTTAAAAGTGTCATCACAGGATGTCGGCTGTTCCAAGTCAAAGCTGCCTTTTGCAATTGACTGATGGGGATTTTTTCATGAGGTGCTCCAGATTTTTGAGATTGAACCCAAGGAGCCTCTGACCATTGGCACTACCTTTGCTTTCTTCTGCCACAGTCATTCTATTTGTATTTTGTGATTTTTTTCCCTTCAGCTCTTCCTCTTTTATTCTGCTGCTGTTATTATTACTACTGTCATGCTGGTTTCTTCTTTCTCATTTTTGAGCACTGCAGAAAAAAGTATCCTTCCAATGACAGGGTGAAAAAGTTTGCCCCTTGAAACACAGGTCAAAAGAAAAGTTAATGCCAGGCTCAGAAAACAAAGGGAGGGGGAAACCGGGGTGGGGGTGGGGTTGTAATCAAAACATAGCAGTATAATGGACAGCAAGACAGAGCAAGTTTCTACACTTCCCATCAGCTTTAATAACGTTGAGGGAGCCCTCAATTTAAGACCAGCCTTTTAACCACTATTCAGAGTTACTACGGCCTTATGACCCCTGCAGCACTTCCAGCTGTAGCAAACTGTCACGTGACTACATTTCTGTCACATGACTACATGTCAGGTGCTTGGTAAGACTTTATGACGAAGTCAGCATCCCACTGTCACATGGTCACATTTTGCAATCTTTCGTGCTGCCTTCCAATGCTTTTTGATGGTTTTTGGCAAAAAAATCCCCCATTCAGAAGAATGGCACTTTGGAGCTTCCGGTTTGGGCTTCTTCGGCAATGGAATGAAATCCGCGAGCATGCGTGGTTTCGATCCGTGCTTGCCACTGGAGCGCCCCGATCCTTTGGATTCGGGGCTGAAGAAGACCGCCAGCTGAGTCGAGGGGAGTGCATCTCTCTCCTCCTCAGCTTGGCATTACTCCCTTTCCTGAAGGCGGTTGCAGCGGTGGTCAGAAACGGCCACCTCAAAGAGGAACCCAACTGGACAAGATTGAGCAGGAGGGAAGACAAAGGGAGAGAGCTTGACAGACCGGGCTAAGCTGAGATAACATCATGCAAGGTACCCTGGAACTAAAATTATTAAGAGTGTTATTCCTAAAAGAAGATTTTTAAAGCGGCGGAGAAGAGAGGGGAAAAGGAAAAACAAATATTTTTTCTCACATTGATAGCTGCAATCGGCTTTGAAAGTTAAAAAAAAAGAGACTCAACTAAGAAATTAGTTGTCAGCTCTGAAATTCATTGCTGTCATCAGTGTTGGGAGGGAAGTGATGTAATGGCATAGTTCTTAGTAGGAAAAAAATATGAGTTTGAAAGTCAAGGTCACAGAAAGTGGCGTAGTAAAAAATTGTACATGCAAAATAATTGGTTCATGTGATTAATGAGGTGTGAAAGTGGGTGGAGGTAGGTGGAATTTTGTGGGAGGTATGTTAGTACTGAAATTCCACCGGACTATACCAGTCTTTTTTGTTCTGAGTAAAGCTTTGAGATTATGCTGGTCTCAGAGTTACTGTTTCAAACGAAGGATTTCTGGAAGTCTCACATTTGTGTTGATTTACTTTGACACTAACAGGTAATCCTAAAATGAAATTAAAGTGTCAAAGGGAAAATAAAGATTTTTTGGACAATCTAAAGCCCACAAAAGGAGGAAAGTGGAAAGAAAAAGAAAGGGTGGACTTGGAAATAACAGAGAATATCACTTGGAAATAAAAAGAATTAACTGTGAAACTTTAAAAAGATTTCCAAAGGATATACTGTAACTGAAACTTTGCTACAATATAACAGAGCCCCCAGAAAGGAAAAGTGGATGAAAGAAGCAAGAAGAAAGAGCTTTGGATTACTTGGTGATTTTTGGAATTTTGGGTGTTGGATTTTTAGTGGTTTGAATTAAAATCAATTGGGTGGTTGTTTAAAAGTGTTTAAAATGGCAGTACTCCTTGAGGAATTAAAAATGGAACTTAAAAAAAATGAAAGAAGAGTCGCAAGAGGGAAGAGGATCCTTTGGCTTCACACTTCAATTTTTTGAAATGGTGATTTTGAACTATGAAAAACAACAAGAAACGCTTGAAGAACAAGAAGGGTTGGACAAAGAAGAAGCCATCTTCAATGACCAAACAACGCAATGTGGGGTAAAATGGAAAAAGGGGGGGTGGAAAGGAGTTAAAAATTTAAGCCTTGGGGAATCAACTAAAAAAAAGAATAGTTTAAAAAGTAAAAATAACATTAGGAAGAAGCAGAAGAGAGGATTACAGAAGGGAGAATCAGAGAGACGGGGACAAAAAGAGGGGAAAGAAAAAAGGAAAATAAGTTATAAGGGACAGGAAACAAGAAATAAAGAAACAGGGGAAACGGACAAGGATTAAAGGTATTAGCCTACTTAAAAGACAGAGATAATGGTTAAAATATAAATTAAAAGAGAGGATTCTGCAAGGGTACAAGAGATAGTGTTGTTATATTAGAAATAGTAATGAGCTAGAAAATATGAATCATAGGTGATTAAAGTGAAAGATAAAACTGGTATTGTGATGTAATGGAATGCTTGCTAGGAAAGAAAGGGAAGGAATGAAAATAATTTAATTGTTTTTAAGGATTTATAAAATACAATTGAAGAGAAATGTGAAAGGTTTATAATGAAATCAATATCAGTTGTCAGGATGAATTTGAATGGATTAATCATTTTATTCATTATTTTTATATATTTTTTCTTTTTTTAGAATTAAGTGTGTATTGTTAAGGGAAAGCGGAATTCGGTTGATAAGAGTTATACGATATAAAATAGATATTAGAAATTGAATGTTATAATTGTATAATGTATAAATTAAATGTTTAATGAGATTTGAAAGGATAATAATTTTAAAATGTAAAGGTGACACACTTTATTTGGTAATTATAGGGGGAACCTTGCTTTTTAATGGCTGGAAGGGGAGGGAATTTTCTTCTTTCTCTTCCCTTTCGGGATGATGATGGAAAAGAATCTATGAAATTATAAGTAGGACAGACAAAAGTACAAGTATAATGACTAGAAAGATATAGAAATTTAGAAAAAAATATGTAATTGAATTAGAAAGGAATGAGATAATTATAAAATAAGGCTGAGGAAAGTAAGGGAAGAGAAGAATTATTGAAAAATTGATAAAATAGTGATAAGATATGAAATTGAATACAAAAATAACTGTAACTGAGATTATGTCTGTATGGAGATGTGATAACCTGGAGTCATGCTACTCTCAAAAAAAGATATTTTATTTCTATTATGTTTTGTGAAAACCCAATAAAACTTTTACTAAAAAAAAAAAACTCTAGTGCTTTGCTTCAGTGAAAAATGCCTAAAACACAGGTACAGTCATGTAGGTGCCTCAACTTAGACCACAGTGACCTAAGACCAGATTTCCAGCCTCTCTCGTGGTTCTAAATTGAGGACTACCTATATGGCCTTTCAGTTCTTGTTTTTTCCTTTCTTATTGGAGAAACCTTGCTGCTTTTAACTCTACTTGGTTATTTTATCTTATAACTATAAATTCTATAATGTCTTATTTTTTTGCTCTAGTGGTTATTGCAGAATATAATAAGTATACTCTAGTGGTTATTTCAGAATATAATAAGTATACCAAGTACAATCCTGTGGAGTCTGACATCCTTGGTTTATAGGACTGCAAAAGATCTCTACCGCTACCTACTCCTGTTTGTGGCCCCAAGTATATATTTTAGAAGGCTAGAAATGAATGGTTTACATTGGAAAAAAATCTGTGGCAGATATACTCAGCAGAAATCATCTTTGGATTTATATAAGGAAGAATAACAATAGCAATTGATAGACTTATATACCCACTTTGTAGTGCTTTCCAGCCCTCTCTAGGCGGTTTACAGAGTCAGCATATTGCCCGCAACAATATGGGTCCTCATTTTACTCACCTCGGAAGGGTGGAAGGCTGAATGAACCTTGAGCCTGGTGAGATTCGAACTGCCAGATTGCAGGCAGCCGGCAGTCAGCAGAAGGAGCCTGCACTACTGCATTCTAACCACTGCGCCTCTGTGGCTCTTTGCTATAATACAATGAATACATTATTAATTATGCTTCAATTGATTTTTTTTCTCTTCCTTTTATGAAGCATCTGCATTTTGCTGTGGATTTAGATCAGTGTGCCAATAACTGGAATATAGCTAGAGAACCACAATCCGTTGAAGGGAGTGATAGAGAGAACACCAAGTACACCAGCATTTCCCCCATTAAGGGAGCAAAGCGAAAACATCCCTGGGAAACATCCAACTCCTCCGATGACTGGGGAAACTCCTGCCTTTTCCGACAGGAAGGAAGCCCCCCCAAGAAAAGAGGAGCTAAAGGCAGCTTTACCAAATCCCTGGAGAACAGTGACCCCCCCATTCAGAAGCTCATTTCTCTGGTGCAAGGCTGGGATATGGCTCACTGCAGATGCTGTGGGGCTCCCCAGGGACCAGGATCTGGCGAAGACTCTAAATGGAGAGCATTGTCTGTGAGGCCCCCCGCTGCCAGCTGCTCCAGGACCTCCAGTTCTGAGCTCTCTAGTAATGAGGTGGACATACAAGGAGCACCAAGAGCACCAGGAAATCTGTCCAAGGCTGGACTGTGCAAGCAGGGTCCCCTGCCTCCCCAGGGCTGGCTGGCAAAGGCAGATGAGCCAAGCAATTTGGAGGAACAGAGTGGCCAGAAAGAGAAGGGTAAGTGGAACGCTTTCACTTGCTGCTTGTAAATGACTTCTGGATTTGCTTGATTGGGAATAAGGGACTGTTCTCCATGGCTTATGTCAGCCCCCATCCATCTTGAATCGGATCTGGGGCTGCCACAAGGGAGGCTGGGTAACCATGGGAATGAAAGTAAAGGGAGAAGGGAGGAAAGCCACAACAACATTCTGACAACTTATTTATTCTAGAAGTCAGGGATTCCTTAGAAATTGTAGGTAGATCTTGAAAACATTTATTTTGCCCTGAGCCTTGTATTTTTAATTGCATCCTGTTCAGGAGGTGGCTTAGCGATTGACTTCTTCACAAGATAGTCATGATCTTTGGAGTAATTAAAACATATGGTTTTTCTTTCCTAAGTGTAAAACCTTACTTTTCTCACCACTGAATTGGACTTTCTTGGATAGGGCCCAGTGTTCAAGTCTGTCAAGATCCTTCTGAAGTGTTGGCTATTCCTCCTAGCTTGGTGTCATCTGCAAATCTGATGAGTTCCCCTTCTGTCCCTTCATCTAAATCAGGGATCTTCAAACTTGATAGCTTTAAGACTTGTGGACTTCAGTTCCCAGAATTCCTCCCCCAGTCTTGTTAGCTCAGGAATTCGGGGAGTTGAAGTCCACAAGTCTTAAACTTGCCAAGTTTGAAGATCCTTGATCTAAATTGTTTATCAAAATGTTGAAGAATACTGGGCCCAAGGCAGACCTTGAGAAACAGCAGTTTTATGCCACATGTTTCTGTCTTATTGAGAAGTAGGCTATGGTGTACTTGGCCAAATGCCTTTGAAGATTACTGGGCCTAAGTCAGAACCTTGGGGTCCCTCATGGCAGACTTCCCTCCATGTAGATGCACTTCCATTAAGGACTACAGGTTGAGTGTGATTTGTCAACCAGTTACTAATCCATCTAATGGTGATGCTGTCTATCCCACAGTTTCTATCGTAACAAATAGTAGGTTGTGGCCTACTTTATCAAATGCCTTATTGAAGACGAAGTATACTATGCCCATAGCATTTCGCTGGTCCACTAATTTAGTTATTTTGTCAAATAATGCAATAAGATTTGTCTGGCATGATCTGTTTTTGACAAAGCCATGTTGGTTTCTGGTAATAGCTTTGCTCATTCTAGGTGTTTCCAGATTTGTTGCTTGATTAACTTTTAGTTTAGTTTACTTTATTGTCATTGCACCTCGTACAACGAAATCAAACACCGTCTTCAGTGCACATCATGACCGTGAAAATAAACACAAACACACATCCTTCACCCTTCACACATTGAACCGGAAACCCCCAACACCACACCAACACTGCACCATACAGCAGAATTCAAAAGAGCTACTGCCCTGGGAGAGAAGCTGTTTTTCAGCCTATTTCTCCTTGTTTTTATTATCCTATACCGTCTGCCAGATGGTAATAGTTCAGAAAAAGGGTTCCTAGGATGAGATGGATCTTTGAGGATGTTTTGAACTTTCTTAAGGCAGCAGGAGCTCTAAAGCTCTTCCAAAGAGGGGAGAGGGCAACTAATGATCTTCAGGGCAATGACATTAACCCTCTGGAGTGTTTTCCTATCTGCCCCTGTGCAATTGGCAAACCATACAGGGGTGCAGCAGTATGTTAAAATGTTCTCTATGGTGCAGCGGGAAAAGGTCACCAGCAGTTTTTCAGTTGTTGTTTTCTGAGAAGTCTCAAGTAGTATAATCTCTTTAACCAGGACTGTAATGTGGGCACCCCAGGTCAGGTCCTCTTTTAGGGTAACACCCAGAAACTTAAAACTGGCCACTTGCTCCCCTCGGTCTCCATTGATAAGCAAGGGCTGGAGGTCTGATCTGTTCCTTCTATAATCCACTATAAGTTCCTTGGTCTTATTGGTGTTTAGGGCCAAGTTATTGTCTTCACACCACGAAAGCAACTGGTCCACCTCATATCGGTAGGCAGACTCCTCCCCCCCGGAGATAAGTCCCACCACTGTTGTATCATCTGCAAATTTAGCCATAGTATTACTAGCGTGAGTGGGAATGCAGTCATGCACATAAAGAGTATAGAGTAAGGGACTCAACACACAACCCTGTGGTGTACTAGTGCTAAGAATAAGGGCTGGAGAGGTATGATTACCTAATCTGACCCTCTG